GCGGTCGTAAAAAAGAGAATCATATACACGCAGGCAATGTTCGCGATCGTGTCAGTTCACTCGCGCTGTCTCGTTTTCATGGCGCGTTGAAAAATGTACATCCACGACTCGAATAATACATAATAATTTAATGTGCGGGTCTTTTAGAGCCGACGGAATATGCATCAGTATTGTAAGGACACGCATAACGACGCCATTCCGTCATATCGCGCGACACCCACGATTTACATATTCGAATATAAAAAACTGGATGCGACAATAATTATTGCCGATTTTACGCAACGATTTTATGGAAGATCTCTGTCTTCGGAACAACGCGGAAAATGACGAGAATAAACAATTAGACTAAACTGTCATCATCGAAATACGCTCTATATTTGGCACAAAAACTTTGATATAGAAAGGATGTCAATCAGCCGCTGAGTACACTGAAAAAAAATCTTTAAATAGTACCGTAAGTAAATATTTACTTACAGTAAATAAATATTCACCCAATAAAAAAATGATAGTTAAATCAAATTAATAGTTTTTGTATGAAATAAATATATGTTTAAATATTCACTTAGAACTATTCAAACAAGTAACGTACGTAATATTATATGTGTGTACGTAAATATACACCTTCAAAATGACCTCTTAAACGTCAAAATGACGGCAAGGAACGTCAGCTCGTTTGCTAGGAAATTCTTCCGGGTTGGCGATTCCAACTGGAAGGTTTAAAGACGACGTTGTGCGTTTCTTCGAGGAAGCGCGAGAGTCTCTTCGCGTCTCTCACGGATCTCGAGTTCGCTCATCTCTCGTCTCGTCTCTTGTACGTCAAGGACTCGGGAGTGCAAACCAGGACGAACTCGCGTTCGTCCGTGTTTCTGGTATGTCGTATTGCGTCGCACGTTACATATGTACGTGCATGCGACGGCACGCGTATGTGCATGCGTTCCACGTGACGCAATCGGATGCCAACGGTTGCAGCAGATCCCGGCATGCTCGTGTTTCGCGGATGCTACCGGTATAACGGTCGCTGATACGCAAAGTCAGACACATACGCACGCACACACGTGCGGGCAAGCAGGCAGATACCAAGCAGAAGCGGTGCCAGGCCGGTGCCTAGAATGACGTCAAGCGCGGTGAATGGATTTCAGTCTCGAGAATTAAAGCTTATCGGTCCGACCGGAAGAGGCGCAAGCTACCGATCGCGGAAATTCCTTAAAAAAGTCAATCGATAACGAGACAAAGAATTTTCACCGGAGAATAATATATTCGAGAGATTAGATTACTAAATTGATTTAAATTTTTCTACGAGACGAAGAGGAGAGAAAAGAATTTTCTGAATAAAACTCAAATACAAGTTGTATTTTATATTTATAATTTTCAAGCAATTTTATTTTATTTTTTTTTCATACATTTACTGAAGTCACAATCGATGATATTCGTGTCGTTCAAAAAAGTAAAAAATATATTTTAACATTTTGGACGTACTGTGAAAAGTTTAAATTTTTTGAAAAGTGACAGTTTTTCCTATAAAAAAATAATTTTCATATAAAAAAATAATTCAGCTAAATTAAACTTTGTCTTCTTCATAAATACAGAAATATCTGCAATTTTACTTTCTGTTAGCTTTCCCGTAACATGCCACAGAAAAGGATGTTATGACGTGTTCTATCATAAACCAGGCAGATACACGGGAATATAATATTTACAGTCTCGGGGATTTTTCGCGCGTGTTTACAAGCATTGTAAGTGAACATTACGTTACTCGCGGTCGCCATGATATCATTACTCGTCAGGTTAACACTGACACGATGCACGATGTCGCCAAGTTGCACGCTGTCAAAACCATAATCATATAGTTTGGCCGTACCTGAGATGGGCGTAAAATCTGGAATGCCCAGCATCTCTAATAATTTATATATTGGCAGGTCATGCTCGATCTTGACATCCTTGATTGTAATTGGAAACACCATGCCCTCCAATTCTTGTATCCCATCATCCAGCAATTTACGAAGTTCTCGAGATCCTTCTTCGGTCGTTAGTTGTTCCAGCAATTTGTTCAGTTTTTGAACCTCTATCGAATTATTTTCGTCCAACTCCTTCTGTGACGGATACAAGAAAAACGTTGACATCTTCTTTTCTTTGCAAGGCACTTCTGTAATAAATAGGTCTAGCTGCTCAGATTTGTCTAGAAAGAGAAACATTAAAATTTCAGGAATAAATCACGTTTCTCAAAAAACAAGTAGCAATTTTTGTAATTTTGATTAAATCATTGAAAATATAAAAGAGACATTAAAAATGTGTTTTTACATATATTTTCTATCTATATGAAAATGTTTTATGACAAAAAAATAAAATAATATAAATTTTTTGTTTATACAATTAATTTAGAAGTTGTAATATTAAAGTTAATGATGAATGAATAATATAAAATTAAGTAACTAGTGATTATTATTGAAATTTTTGTTCTTACAGATAATATGTTTGGCTATAAGTGTATTCTTCTCATTTTGGGTATCAACTGCAGTATCACAATTTTTGTCAAATCGACCCTTAAAGTAGATCGTATTGAACATGATTATTTCAGTATTTTCATCGATACTGTTTGGTGGTAGCAAATTTTGTATGTAGCTTTGCGTCGTGCATGAAACAATATTATTGACGAAATTCCTTACAAGGTTGGGACGGTCACTGAAATTGCATTCCTTCACAGAATTGGCAGTTGCATGTAAATTCAATGAGTCGACATACAACCCTTTTGATTCATCAATTATAATTTTATAGTAAATTCGACATGTATAGGAGTTCTCGGATCCATTTGCCTGAAATGGATAAAAATAAATAAATTATACGATTCTCTCTCTCTCTCTCTCTCTCTCTCTCTCTCTCTCTCTCGCCCTGCCCCCTCTTTTCTGTCTCTCTTTCCCGCTCTTTCTCCTCCTTTTCTTTTTCTTTAAGACAATAAATATTCGTTACGTCTTTCATTATAAGTTACCATAAAATTTATTTATTAATTAAAAGTTTTATAATTTTATACATCCGAAAACGTCAGCGATAAATCATATTCTTGCGTATTCTTTGTATGACAGTGCTAATCTCACACCTGAGATAATTACTCACTATGTAAAAAAAATAATCGTCTCCTCCATTGGTATAATATTCTTCAACAGTGTATTTTGTTATGCTATCAGGAATATGGAGAATCTGTCTAAGAGTAGATTCCAAATCGTAGATAGCACCGAAATATGCCAAGAGTAGATTATGATATAAGAGATGCGGGCTAAAAAAAAAATTATTTTTCGGCCCCATCGTGATACACTTCTTCAGGCAATCAAGGGCGAATTTGAATCGAGCATCTGCTAACATCTATATAAAAAATTAAAATTTTCTATTATAAATTTAGTCTCTATAAGAAAAATTATATATATTTTTTTTAAATATATCATATTATAAAACCAAATTAAGAGAAATAAAAAGTTAAAAAATTAAGTCATAATTATTATAATATTATATAGTGAATTAGGGAATTAGCAAAAATATGTTTTATTGTATACATCTAATGTTATAAGCATTTTACCGTGTTTACTAAGATTAGCAATTTAGTATACCTTTGATATAATCCTTAGGCTATCGACGCAGTCCAATACAAATTAAAATAGTCGATCAACAGGCCAAAAAATTTATTTAAGTCGGCGGAAATGTCAACAAAATATAATATAGTTGTCCAATTCAGTTTGTACCGTAAATGATGAAATGATCTCTCCAGATCTGATGATAGAATACAACAGGATCAATAATATATAAGCAGTCAAGGTTAATCGATAGTGTTATTTACGTATATATTAAAACACGATTTGACGAAAATACGGCAGCCACATAAAATCTTTAAATAAAGCGCGAAGTCTTATGGATAGACTTTATTTATTGTTTACATCTTTTTCAGGAATTTTATCTAGCTATAATACTCAATAATGAACTGTTATCAAAAAGAATTTTTCACAGCTCATTGAAATTAGAATGTCCGACAATATAATCTTGCAAAATAATATGTGATATCAATAAGAGTTCCAAGAATTTATTACTTCGTATAACATCGTACGTATCGACTTCTATTTGAGTCATCTTGAACCATTCAACATTAATAAGTACAGAATAAAAGTCAGTATCTTCATATTCTCATTATCAAAAGTGAGCGATTACCAGAACATTCGTGCAGCCATGAGCAAGTTGTCCATCGAGACATTAAAATTCAAAGATAGCGATGTCTTTGTTGTTCACTATTTTGTTACATAAATTTCGATTGTTTGCGAGTTGCTTGATTTCGTGAGTCTGAGTTTTTATTGCCACTCAGCCAAGTAACTGTGCTGGACAACTTGCTCATGGCCTCACGAATGTTCTGGTAATCGCTCACTTTTGATCATGAAAATATGAAGATACTGACTGCGATTTTTATTCTGTACTTATTAATGTTGAATTGCTGAAGATGACTAAAATTGGAGTCGAAACGTACGATGTTGTACGAAGTAATAAATTCTTGAAATTTTTTTTTTTTTAACAATTAGAGGTCGATTCCTATTGCCTTATTTACGAATTCTGTCTTATCGATTGATTTAAGGAGTCTATAACTCATTTAGAGAGTTATTATTTTATTATTAATTATTATCAATAAGTTGTTTAACGTATCGATTTTAGAAGAAAATAAGTGTCTTTTTTGTAAATTACATGACATCTAAATCTAATCTTATAAATATCAAGAAAATGTTTGCATTAAGAGATGCTGTATATCATATAGATCCCTGAACCAATTTTGATATAAAATTAAGTAAAATTCTATTATCAAAATACATCTTATTTGTTTTTATCATGAAACCCTATTTTGAAGTTTGAAAAATTATTTCATTAGATTGGATTAAAGATCTCGTAATATTACGTCTTTTGTATTACCCTGTACGTTTTTTACTTATAAAAAACATGAGTATTTCGCCGCACCATCTGGGGCCGCGTAATTGCTTACTAAGCATTTATAAGTAGATATCATGAACTTTTTTAGAAGATACTTCACCGAATGATAATTTTTTAATATTTTAATGAGGTCTTTAAAGAATTATTTTAAAAAATCTTCCTTTCAACAATGCTCACTACTCTCACTAGGTATTTTCTGCGTTAATTATGCTTTGAATTTTTATAATTAAATTGACAATTTAAATTTATATTCACTATAATATTTTTTTTCGTGTTGCTGATGAATTATTATAATTGGAGTGAGTTGAATAATATTTAATTATAGTTACACATATCATGCTATAACATAACATAATTCAGAAATTGTTATTTTTTAGTTGCTTGCAGAAAAAGAACAGGAACATAAAGAAAAAAAAACGTACTTTAAAAGTACATAGGGGAGAGTGGTGTCGATTGAAACAGAGGGTCAATTGTAACATTGACCGCAATAGCTGTATCTATTGACGAAAGGCTGAACTGCATGCACGGTTGCATACCGTTAACAGACATAAGTCATTGACGAAAAATTGAGTGGCCATTCGTAAGTGCAAACGTAGCAGCACCTATTTTTGTTAAATCAAGGTTAGATTGTAAACTTTGTTACCCGCCATTATTTAGTGCAACTCGTTCCACAACAATTTGTAATACGACGATACTGTGTGATATGAATATCACACTTATATGAATATTAAGCTTTGCAGTAAGATATATATCAATTCAATTTATTGTTTACATGTAAGTTTAATGGATATAAAATCGAAACAAGCGGCGGTGATACAATTGACACCACCGCGATGTCAATTGTAACAAGTTGCGGCGATGCCATTAATGATAAATATCATTTATAATTTGTTACTTTTTTAAATATCTATTAAGTTGAAATTAATGCCAAAGGATATATTTGTTTTCATAAAAAATTTCAATTTTTTCTTATTTATAATAAATTGGTTAGCTGCAAAAATATTTTTTTTGTTTCAACCGACACCACTCTCCCTACTTTTATTACTTCATAATCAGTTATTACGTTAAAATTAATATTACAAAAACTTAATGATTCCAGATATTCGAACTTATTTTCCGAAGAATTTTGTTTTTTAGTTGTGTCGTTGTAGAAAGTGAGCGATATGTTTAAAAATATTTTTATTAACTTTTTTCGTATATAAATCTCTGCATGTAACAAACGCGATTATTTTTAAAATGTGTTTTATGTCTCGAGAAAAACTCTCGAAAAATGTTAGTCTGTCTTTCTTTATTGTCTTATTTAATCCCGAAATTACGACTAAAATCGGTATAATTTCATAACATTTGATGAATATGATTTTTTTATCTTCGTAAGTAAATTAATTAAAGCAAAATAAAATAAAAATGTGAAACTTTACACGCAGAGAATTATGTTTTAAAATTCACCCTGAAAATATGATAATTGTGATACAATGCAATATTTTAAAGATTTTTACCATGAACTTCAACAAAATTAATCAAACTTATTTTATATATTATAGTTTTATTAATGAATGAGAGAAATTTACATAAAATTCGTCGAAATACAATATTGTCCTAGAATTACTCATATTTTCAGGGTAAAACTCTAAGAAAAAATTCTCTCCGTACATCATTATTAAAATTTTAATACATTTTCATATATATTTACTTCTTTACAGAAATTATTTATTTTTGTAGAAGTAATTCTTTTTTCTCGTTTAACAAATTTTTCATATTTTATATTTCAATATATTCAAAAAGTTTGTAACGTTTATTTTCTTTTGTCCCAATTTATTTCTTTATAACAATTAGGGGAAATCACCGGGAATCACAACGTTTACTACACAGATACAACAATTACTTTATAATTTTTGAAACTTACTAAATAATTAAGTATCGTAGATTCTTACAAAACTGAACAAACTATACCGTTTCTTCATAAGACTTTAATGACCACATTATATTTGTACATCATGTATATTATTTATATATCGACATATATATATATATATATATACATATATGTATATAAGCATTTCAACACGTGATATCATATACCTAACCTCACTTATTTTAACCTTTTCGGTGAAAATACTTGCGTGTCGACAGCGTGCACACGAGACTTGATTAGCGCATTAAGTCGTAATTTACAAAAGGACGATGACTATATAATGATGTTTCTTACATATATTTTTGCAAATTCGGAGATTTTGTGTTACAATACCTCTGTTCGTGCCGGTTAGCGCTGCTCTTTAAATTCTTTAGGCTGATTCTCCCTCCCAAAAAATTTTAAGAGTGCACGGAGAGCAAAACTGAAGACACTTTTCTTATAAGCATAATACATTTCCAAGCTATCGATTATAAATTAAATCAATCCAGTCATTATTCCGACACGTATATTCAATTATTCTTTGGTTCAAGGAGCTCGTACATAGATACCTCATGGTTTGTCTTGCCGCGAGTACATTTTATTATAAATAATTCTTTTTATAATTATTTAAGTATTAAACACACACCGGGATTAAACCAATTCGTCAATTCGTTTTTCAATACTCCGATCGCCGATTCTTAGAATATTGTTACAATAAATATGGGATTGGTAAGAGAATAAATGTAGTTTTTCATTATAATTATCAAAACGCAACGGACCAAGAGACACGTGCAAGAAATTTGAAAAAATGTACGAACGGAAACATGAGAAACTGAATAATACAAACAAAAATGTATAGAAATGAGACGTAACTTGTCCGTTAAATTTTTCTTGCTTGGCAATCCCAAACGGAATCGTCGTAATCAAAATGTTTTGTAGGATTTATCCAGATAACTTGCATAGCTATACACAAAAAAAATTATATGCATAAAATTATTCAATCGTGTTTCTATCATAAGGACGCACTTAAAATGCAAGTTTTCTTTATGCATTTATGACGTTATGTTTCGAGGAAGAGCGAGTCTCTTCGCGTCCCTCATGAACCTTTTTCTCATTGTTTCGTAGTACATCAAGGATTCAAACGAATTCGCCATGTGTACGTGCATGAGTTTCACATGACACAATTGGATGCCAACGGCTGTAGCAGATCCTGCTATCCTGCTATGTTCTAATTGTTTCTTGGATGCTGCCAGCCAACCATCGCTGATGCGCAACGCTTGTTCTTTTTAGCTGCACTGAATCTGCACCGAGTGTTCGTTATTTTCAAAGCACAATTGTATAATCATCGTCTTTTAAGTGCACGAATTGTAACATAGTTCAGCTAAAAGGAATAGACCTAAAGTTAGACATGCACACACGCAGAAAACACGTGCATACGATGCAGCAAGCAGGTACCAAGCCAGAATGACGTCAAGTCCGGTGAATGGATTCAGCTTCGAGAATTTAACTTGCCGATTCGACCGAAAGAGGCGCAAGCTATTGATCGAGTCAATCGAGTTAGAAGTCAATCGATAACAAAAGAAAGTATTAATATGCTTTTATCGATAAATGCACTTTTATTTTTTAAATTTTATATGGAACAGGAACTATGCACTAAAAATACTCTATAACATAATAAGCGCGTTCTGAATACGGATTAAAGAATTTTCGTACGATAACAACTCGATAATTATAAAAAGTTTAGATTAAATTAATCTAAATATTTCTATTGGAACAATTACAAAAAGCGAAAAAAAAATTTCTGATTGAAATTGTATTTTAATTTACACTTTATTTTATTTACATTCTTCAAACGTGCAGTTGATAAAGTCGTAATTCGTGTTATCTAGACAACCCACCTGTCTAAGGTCGGTATTTATAATCCGTTCCTATTTTAAGACTGTTTTAAATAATGTCATAAGATCCTAATACGGCTCTGTGATTGGCTTATAACATCTCGAGACGGTCTCTGTATTGAGAACATTTAAGTATAAGAACTGAATCAGTTTAACTGACTATGACTGCGTTCAGCGGACTCAATAGTTGAGTGAGCGCTCGCTGCTATTGATGTATTCTTCCAGTTCTAAAATGCTGATTGGATGATCTAAAAGAATACACCAATAACAGCGCGCGCTTACTCAACTGTTGAGTTCGCTGAACGCAACCTACGATTACCACCAGCCTGAAGGTAATTTTTTTTTATGGAAAAAAAAAGCAATAAATTACCTGAACAAACCCAAAAGTTATTGGGCCCCAACAGCACAAAAGTTGCAGCAATATTACACATTGCAGTAATGTTGCAGCAATATGGCTTCAACTTTTGTACTATTGGGGGGATTTACATTAAAAAATTTTTAATGAAACTCTATGTGATGAGTCGAATTACAATATTTACTTTAATTTCCTTATTTTTCTCGTAAACTATAAATGATATAAAAAAATAGTTTAAGCAAAAGAAGAGATTTACGAAAATCTCTTAAAGAAATCAAGCAATAGTTAGAGAAAATTTTTATTCACTTTAAGATTTGGAAAAATCACTAAATAAAGACGAATATTTCTATCGGAAAAAAAGAAGAAATAATTTTTGGAATAAAATTGTTATGTTTTAATATATATTTTTAAGCACACAGTTGAAAATGTCACGCTAGATAAAATTGATGTTATATGTATAAACATTTCAGAGATGTATATTTCAATATTTTTGTTTTTTTTAAATACTAGAAAATATTTAAATTGCTAACATTTAAACAGCAGAAAATTTCTTTAAAGGTAATTAAAGATATATTGGACCTATTTTGAAAATATTCAAAAAATTATGAATAGATTGCTTTATATTGCATTTAAAAGTAGTGCACAAATTTAGCGGCGATTTTCTAAGTAGATAAAGAATTATTTTAATAAAAGTAGATATGTGCTCTAATAAAAATATAATTAAGAAATAATTTAAAAAATTGGAATTTTTTTATGTAAGCACTTTATATATTTAGGATGACTTTATATTATAATACAGGGTGGAACACCTAAAACAAAATACCGGAATATCTTGAAAATTAAATACGGTAGTATGATTTTTTTACACTATGGTTCCTCTAATTATTTTACATACAAAAGTATTAAGTGTATTAAAAATATAAATACAACGTGGTTCCAATAAAAACAAACCAATTCTTTGTCTAAAAGGCATATACCACGAACACCAGATAACTGTGGCGATTATTTCAAATCCTTTATTAAATACATGGAATCAAAAATAAACGTTTCGGTCCCAATCGTTTATTTTTGATTCCATGTATTTAATAAAAGATTTGAAATAATCGCCACAGTTATCTGGTGTTCGTGGTATATACCTTTCAGACAAAGAATTGGTTTGTTATTAAGTGTATAGTAGTGATATAAAAAACCAATAGCTTACGAGATATTTTATAATTTATTCTGGCATATAGTGACATAAAATATTAAATAATTCGTAAACTATGTATTAATTTTTTAATACATGCACATGTAATCGTACATGCTACTTGATACTTTTATAAATAGAATAATGAGATGAATCAATTAGTGGAAAGAAAACATAATTGCTTAGAAAAAATATATATATATTATCTATAATTGATTCATCTCATTATTTTGTATATAAAAGTATTAAAGTGTGATTATAAAAAAATTAATAATTTACAAGTTGTTTAACATTTTATGTCAATATATGCAGAATAAAGTATAATATATCTCGTAAATTATTGATTTTTTGGTATCACTATCTTAATACTTTTATATGTAGAATAATTAGATTAACCATATTGTGTAAAAAAATCATATCATTCCATTGAAAAAAGTGGAGGTGACCTCCATGTAACCTTGAAAAATCGATTTTTTTTTAATGATTTCATCATTATTTGTCCTCCTTCGAATCATACAATTTTTGTCTGAAACATTTTTCTTTACCGTGTTTAATTTTTCAGATGTTCCGGTGTTTTGTTTTAGGTGCCCCACCCTTGTATAATAAAACAAATCGATGAAAATATTAGCGAAGTATAATATTGGTGAACGGTTGTCTGTTATATGGCCCGTCTACTAAACATTAGTCATAAATCAGAAGTCAGAAGCTAAAAATTAACGACTGCGATTAGTAAATTTTTAGCTTCTGATTTCTGATTTATGACTAATGGCTTATTATAGAAGGCTCATTATATGTAGTTCCGTTCAGTGTACTGTAAGTGAGACTGAGTCGATTCTGATGTTACAGAATACAATAGCAGCAGTATTATTTAGGCAGTCAAAATGAAACGGCAATGTCATTTATATTTACTAAATCATTTTGGCGAGAATCATATGGAAACATGAAATAAACGATAATAAAACTGTTTGCCAATTTTCAAAGATTAAGGTGGTTGTATCGCAAAGGAGCGACTTGTGAGGAAGAAGGGGGGGCGGGCAATCGCCCGAAACGTCAGCGCATGAGGGCACCGTTCGGCGATGAAAAAAAATTACTGTTCAAAAATTGCTGTAGATCGCAATTTTTTAACAATAATTTTTATTTCCCAATAGTAATTTTTATTTCCTCACTGTGCGCCGGTATTTGAGAATGAGTAAACAAAATGGATATTAGTGAAGTATTAAAGCAATTTTCTAAGGTTTTATAATTAATATTTATCTGGTTACCTCCAATTTTCTTCGGTTTAGGAGAGAGAGAGAGAGAGAGATTCGTATTATATTTATCTATAGTCCTTTAGTTTTTGAGCGAATTTCTAAATACTGTTTTTGCGCTATAATTGAAAATGTACTATCACTCCTTGTCTGATACAGGGAACCCCTTGTCTAGCACATGTTAAAAGTACTAACTTCAAATGCAATTATCTTTTGAACATGATTGGTGTCCCCCCCCCCCCGTCTCAAAATGATATGTATGTATAGAGAATATTATTATCTTCAAATAATAAAAGCTTCAAATTGACAAATCTTAAGAAAAGTCATTTTGCGGTACAACCACCTTAAGAAATGCTAATGTCCATTTCTACGAATACAGATTAATTTCATTCTCGGTTCAACTTATTTTTCATTTTTTTCTATTTCTTCGAAAATTTTCTTAGCAATAAAATGATATTTTTCGATGTGTATTCTTTGTAGTAATTATGTTCTGTTTATGATTAAAATTGATGACTTATTTCTATATTCTATTATATTATCCTTTCTATCTATGATAGCTGTTGAATTTGTCATTATAGTAATGTCAGAATGAGAAAGAGAGAGAGAAAGAAAGAAATAATAGAAAATATTTAACTATAACAATATAATTTTGTATATACGTCTAAAAACATTTTTATTAATTTTTTTATTACATAAATCTCTGCTTAATGTTTGTACAATTTTTTATTAAGCTTGTGGGATGATCAAATTTGAAAAAAGAATATCTGTTGAACAAAAAATCATTTCAGTCAGTTGACGCGAATATTCTTCGTCGAAATTTATTATCTATACATATATCATCAGAAAATAATATTTACGTCTTGACATTGTTGTTTTATTTTATACTCATTTTCATCTAACATTAAAAATAAGACGTCGTAAAAGTATAAAATCTAAATACGAAAATAAATTAATGAGATTCATGCAACAGACTCATCTAAAAAAATCGCCGGAAATTGCAAGGTTCTTTTTTCGATTCTTCAAAAATTCATACTTGACAATCAACGACATCAACTTCACAAGATTCAAAGAACTAGCTATCTCCGATCATCAACAAAAACCGCTCAGCGCCACATAAGAAATAGATCCTATCAAAGATGGTATTTTCTGATTAGCAATAAGGAAAAGTGGAAAGACAAATGTCAATCCTTGTCACGTCATTAGACTCCACTGAACCATCTTTCCAAGGACAAGTTTCTCTTAAACGGCACAATCTGTTCAAATACCACCAGGAGTTTAAGAATACGTCGGTTGAGGTGAGCGGAAAACGCCGATGAAAAGAATGATGTGATCAGCCTTGTTGTAGATCAAGTAGACGAATGGGTGATTGGCGTTGAAGATGGCAGGCTCGGTGGGTCGACTGGAGCGGAAAGTGAAAATCGCAGTTGCCGCAGCCGCGGTAGTGCCTTCCTCCGTAACCTCGATGCGAGCTCGATGCACAGCATCACCGAGGTGCAGGCTCTGTTCACCATCCGCGAGAAAACCACGAAGATCGGCCGCACCGGGTGTCAACAATTCCCCGGCGCCCAGAGCATGCAACAATTGACTGATTGGTAGCTCTCGTTCTAGCTCGAAACGTGGTAAGCTGACTTCGACTTCGCGCGGTGGTAATCCGTCGTCCAACAATTCCCGTAACTCCTGGGAGCCCTTCTCGGTCGCCAGACGTTGCACCAGTTGATGGATACCGTCCTGTGGCTCGTTAGAAGGATTTTGAGCAGATCGCGTAGTGGAGAACGGAGGGAGCAGCACGAACATCGATATCTCGTCACCCTTGTACGGTAATTCCAAGATATATGCGCCTAGTTGCTCAGAGACAGCTAAATAGGAAAGCATGAAGATTAGAAAGAAAGTAAATAAATAAACATTCAAGTGTTAGGTGAACGGAATTTCGGAATTATATCGATTTTTATAACATAAGTCAATGAAATTAATGATAAATCATTGAGAAAAAATAATTTTTGATATTTATAGTATAATTGTACACCTGCGCCTAGTTGCTCAGAGACAGCTAAATAGGAAAGCATGAAGATTAGAAAGAAAGTAAATAAATGAACATTCAAGTGTTAGATGAACGGAATTTCGGAATTGTATCGATTTTTATAACATAAGTCAATGAAATTAATGATAAATCATTGAAAGAAAAAATAATTTTTGATATTTATAGTATAATTGTAGACTGTTAGAAATATTCTTAAATTTCATTAACTTTTAAGTTACATAATTGAATTTAATTTGAATTTCATTTCATGACATTACATTAAATTTAATGTATTTGTAACTAAAAAATATATGTATTTATGTACATGTACATAAAATTTAATGTATTTTTCATGAAAATTTATGAAATTTAATGTACTTTTCATAAAATTTTATTATAAGTAATACATTAAATTTCATAAATTTAATGTACACGTTCATTACATTTAAGTAACTACTGTAACTTAATTTTCAGTTAAATCATTCATTACTTTTAATTTCATTCATAATCACCAGCTTCATTTACATGTAAAGGAAGCTCGTGGTTACATTTCTAACAGTGTAGCTACAAATGCCAAAAATTTTTCTCTCAATGTATGAGGTTTGAGTAGTAAATAATAACGCTTACCATGATTAAAGTTCCCTTTCTGGCGCATGAACATTGTGACAGAGTTTTGCGCGCCGGTAGTATAGAAGATGTCGCGTTTTGAGTTCTTTACGTCGAAACGACTGGCCCACAGGCCCTTAAAGTAGACTGCGTTTGCCAGAACTAGGTCAGTATCCGCGGTAATGCTGTTCGTTGGCAGGATATCACGGATGTGACCTTTTGTCATATTACTCACCCAGTTATTGATTTCGTTTCTTACTTCGACAGGATTTGTTCTGAAATCGGTTACTTGCAACTGATCGCCGAAGAAATCGAGCATACAATCGCGTAGCTTTTTGGTGTTCGTAATCCAAAATCTATTAGCGATCTTGTAATCGTAGGAATTTGTAGACCCATTTCCCTGAAATGAAAAATATACTAAGAATAAAAAATTGATTTTTTTTTCAAAAGGTTACGCGAAATCTTAGATAATATACATAAGCTTTTACAACTCTATACATCACGTTCACACAAACACGACTTTTAGAATATTTATATCCTCGAACAAATAAATTTTAGAGAGATATCTAAATTATACTCTTTTACTTTTAATTTATACTTTTGCTAAATTATTTTATCCCACTTAAATATTGTCCAAAGTTAATTTTGTCTGAGCAAAGCAGTCTTTAAATTTCTCGTTCTAAGATCCGCAAATTATAACGTGATATTTATGCAGTTAAAGTTGCAAAAAATGCTACTTTCATGTATACTTTATCATATTATAATTATACAATATGTAGATATGGAAAAATCGAATTCATATTTAGTGTTCAGCAAATTACTCGTTTCGTTCTGATGTTTTTTTTTCTCTGTGTATATTAACTTGAAATTTATTTTTACCATTCTTATCGACTTCTTCTGCAAAAATATCCAAGTTTATTTATTCAAATCTCTTTGCTGCACAAGATGATCTTAAAAGTCGGCCAAGGGGATCCGCAATTCTTTCACAGCCACCTTTAGGGCCTTGAGTACCCAAGAGCGCGAATTATCCCCGGACGTTGATGTAACAATAAACTACGCGAGGGTCACCTTGACATACCTCCAGTGACGATGAAGTAAATTACGTAATTGCGCAATCGCACCGGAACCACTTACCTGAGAACGCATTTGATCGAGCGATTTCTCAATGGCGTAGAAACGTTGCACTTCGATTTTTGAGAGCTCATCCGGAATTTGAAGGGCCCGCTTGAGGGAGTCCTCAGTGGTACCACGAGCACCAAAGTATGCCAAGCTCAAGGCCTGGTGTATACTGTGCGGACTGAAGAAGATATTGTCCTTCGACTCGATCAACGCGGTCTTTTTCAGACTATCGAGCGCGAAGTTAAAGCGAGCGTTCGTTAACGACATCCTTGACATTGAGTCCATCATTGTGGGGACATCATCTCCTGTTAAGCATTGCCCCGAAATCATGCTGATCGTCGACAACAACGATATCACCTGCAAAATTGAAGAAACGAGACAGGAATAAGAGAAAGAAAGATATTGCAATTTTACTATATGTTATATGTCGTTAAAACTATTATAATAGATTTTATATAAAAAAGACGCTTTTGCTGAAGTGTTTAAAAATTTAGTTGGATACAGATCTAAAAATACATTTTGTGTTTTTAATCATCAAAACAATTATATACAATACTCAAATTGATTGCTACAATTGAAAAAAACACTTTACTAAATTTTTATAAATATTTGTTTAAATAGGGTTTTTCAGTACAGAAGGTCAAAACTTTTTGTAGTATTGCTCATCATGCTTGAGATTTCTACGTAATTATTTTTACAAACTTATTTTCTAACAAAATTATTTTCATATCTGTATCCAATTAAATTTTTAGATACTTCAACAAAATGTTCTTTCTATATATTAATATTAAATATAAGGAATGGATTTCAATCAAATATTATATGATGATTTGTCCTCCATGATAAAAACAATAATATGAATAATATTAAGTGGAAAGTTAACCGAGAAATGATTAAAGAAGAAGGTCACCTTTAGTTAGAGCGGATCCGCTAGTATTTAATGACAATAATAATAGATATTTACGAAACAGATCGCTCTAGAAGGTTGATTGTACAATACAGGAAAAATGAAGTTAAATTAAAATTTTTTAAAGGTCTTAACTGCAAAGAAGAGATCTCACGAAAATGTTAAAAAGACCGTGATTAAAAAGAATTCAATTTGTTACTAGACAACGATTTATCATCAAGTTTACACATGTATTTCCGAATAAGATTAACGATATCTCGCGTGAATAAAACGTACACGCTGACATCATTCCAATCGAATATTTGATCGAGAAGAAAAAAAGACTTTCTCGACACGGCGCGGCACGCCGGAGAAAGCGGTGACGACGAAGAATCACGCGCGTTCGGCACAGAAAACGCAAAGACGAAACGGAAGGAATCTGGGCCTCCGGTACTCTTTTCATCGTTTCACGATGCGCATGATGCTCCTCACAACAATGCCCTGTAATTCGTGCGAATTTTTAGACCATGTCGCCCGGCGCGTGCAATCGCTGTATGGATGAACTGATGACTTCATCTGATTGCAAATTTTTTTAACGGCGATTAATCCCGTCTAAGTAGAACGTCAAAGATCAAGGTTTTGTCCGATGATTTAAATTTCACGTTTGTTTCTTAATTTTTTTGCAAGACACCGAAAGAAAATTTTTAGTATATTTGTGGCTATAATTTACATAATTATATCATGTACCACATGTATTATACTGTTATATAACTATAACGTTTATAATTATATTTATACATAGTTCTATAAAAAAAAATATATGTATATAGTTGGCATTAAAAATAACTATAACACTATACACTGAAAAAAAATGTTCTAAATTTTAATAAATATTTGTTTAAATATTAATTAAATATTTAACAAACAAATGTAAACTTATCAGGAGACACGGTACTGAGAGAAAAATGTTTTGTATTTGTATCTATAATTATATATTACTATAATTATAGTTATAATAAAATAATTATAGAGTCATTTTAAGTTGTCAACTATATACATTTGTTGCTAGAACTATATACATAGTTACTGTTATCATTATTATAGCAGTAATAATCATAATTATAGTAATATGTAATTATTGTTACAAATACCAAACATTTTTCTCTCAGTGTAATGTCTCGACGCTAAGCCAATCCCAACGACACTATATTTATTTACTGTAAGTAAATGTTTAGTTCATACTGTTTAAAAAATATGTATTAAAATTAATAAATTTTTTCATTCTAATTATTACTATCATAAAAATAGTTGCTACCATAATTTAACTAGAATTTATAGTAATTTTTGGATCAACTATACAAAATATGATTTGATCTAAAAAATAATTATAAATAATACTTGAATTGCATTTTTATGACAATAACAAGTATTACAGTTATTTTCGGTGTCAATTATATGTTTTTATAGAACTGTACATACAATTATTTTTACTTACACTATAGCAATAATAATCATAAGTGTGGTATTGTGTATTATAGTCTTAAGTACTAAAAACTTTTCTCTCAGTAAATAATAGGTACATAGGAATGGCAACTGATGGCATGTGATTATCAGTTTGTCCTGCATCGTCGGTATTCCAGGTTTTCCATCTGAAATGACGTAATCCTTTGCGGTTCCTTCACAACTTCCTTTCCTCGGGGAAGGGCACGTTCGTTTGGTTCGTTACTTTCCTACGTAATTACGGCGGAAAATTACGACCGGAATCGGAAATCGGAGGCTAACAACGAGTGAAAGCAGCCGGCGAAGCCAGTACCGTGACATCATAGGGCATCCGGGTTTCATGACTGAAATTAAGGTGTGACGAAAGCTCGACTGACAAAAGCGATATTTTTGATAGTGAATCACGACGAGACACACCCTCTATAATGCAATTTGTAATATCAATTTTGCTAAACATAAGAAACAATAAATGTGACGTACAATATAGTTGATGTTCTAGATTTATTCCATATTTATTATAGATAATGTAATCTGATATTATGTTTTTGTATAGGTATGTTAAGTTTAATATGTTTCCACGGAAAGAACGTTATTGAAATATCTAAAAATTTAGATCTGAAAATAATGTTGTTGGAAATTCTGGAATTGGGATTAAAATTTAAATAAAACTAAAAATTAATAATTAATAAATTAAAGCAGGAAATAATTTTTTTTAATTCAACAATTTTAAAACAATTAAAATTAGAATTAATACGAAGATAAAACCACAATCTGAATTAAAATTAGATTCACGAATTTTTACACAAATTTTTTCACGATTGTATAAACGACGTATTTACGAAATATATTTACTCCGAGAATAGTGAACATTTAAAATTAAAAACGTAGCTGAAATCAGAAGAGAAATTGATGTGAGTTGAAAATAGGATTGAAAAATTCGTCTAAATTAAAATTCTATCGCGAATTAAAATGAGGACAAGGACAGTGAATTAAAACTACAATTGTAATTGAGTTTTGAGCTGTCTGAGTTAGAATTGGAATAGTTGAAACGAGATCTATACTGCGATATGACAATGAAATGCCATGAATTCTTTGTTCGTTGTGTATGACGCTTGTTATTATCATGACGATCACGTAGCGTGTACAATTCGTGACGAGCCTGCTAGTGAATAGTTTGTCTTGCTCTCAAGATTGAACTTCTTTTTTTTGTTTTATTCACTCGCTCGCTATCAAATAGCTCGAGGTAATTGCTCGTGATGTAAGGATTTATGAATGATCAACCGATGCGAACGCGACAGGAATTCCGTGAAAATCATCAGAACAGTGCATGGTTTTCTTTACGTAAACATTTCAAAGCGTGAAGGTCTGAGGTAAAGTACGTGATTATCCAATTAACTCATTAAAGGTCATAAAACTGTAATGCAAAGAATTTTATTTAAGTAATTTTGCCTTTTCTAAAAGTCTCAGTTACAAGTTCTTGAATTCTAAATCCAGAACATTAAACAAACAGTTTTTATCGTTTTAAAAATATTAAGTTTTAATTTTAAAAAGACAACGATTACATATAATATAATATTATTTGAAAAAATAAAGTAGAACCTTTATTCTTTTAATCGTTGATGATATTATAGATACAGTTTTTTAGAACTACAGAAAATTACATCGTTTCATAAATGTATTGTAATTGCAAGAAAATTTATGTTCTCGTAGAACATTTAATTTCATTCCACAAATAGAACCTTGTCTTACAGCAACATAAAATTTTTTGCGATTACAATATATTTACAAAACGATATACGAATAATTTTTTGAAAAACGATAAAATATCACGTCTAGACATCACATGAAAATTACAATATGAAAAATATCTGAATAAAGCCAATATTTATCGAACCAAAAAGAAAACATTGTCTTAATTAAATTAAGATTTTTATTAATAAAAAATAACATTGATAAAAATAGCAGTCAAGGTCAACGTGAGAATAATAGCCAAGTGAGGTCAAATGCATATACTGAAAGTAGGAAACAGAATTCTATCCGATAATGTTATTATTTATATTTATTATGCTGTTATTTACATTTTTTTATTGTGATATTGCATGACTACATTGTTGAGTGTCGGATATGCACATGTACTGATGATGTATATTTGTGGATATAAAAGATTGTAACATCATTATATAAATCTTTGACGTCGTTCTAGATAAAACGAAATAAAAATAAACTGTGTTTTAATGATATTGTTTTTTGTGTGAGAGAACTAGAGTATCATCGGGCTTTTCAAAATTATCACCACGAATTTGCTCCGTTTACCGAATTTCTTTTTTTTCATTAATTTTGTATCCTGAATCATAACGATTATTATATTAAAATAATATTATAATTATATTATTATTGCAAATATTAAATATTATAACATGTCATTACATTACAATGGATATTATAATACAATATTAAAATTTCAAACATAATGTAATATTATGTTTGAAATTTTATGTTATTAATTGGAAAAATAAGAAATTTGACATTTTCCATAAACGATCTAATCAATTTCTTTAAAAATTTATAAAACTAAAACATTTTTAAACTCGAAACTGATAATTTTTTTAATTATATCAAGCTCGTTCAGAATCAATTCAAGAATTTATTTGCAAAGAGAGAGAGAGAGAGGGGGAAAAAAACGTTCACAAGTCTTACGATAAGACTTATCGCGGTTGAACTTCCGACAAGGCAGGCAATCAAGGGTCATTCCAGGATAGAATACTGTTAGTATGTATTTACGCACCCCTTATCAATACAAATGTATATGTTAGTATGTTTAAGTTTAATACTCTAAGATTGGCAATTCTGTTCGTTATTCTCCGCTCGCTTTTACATTCAAATCTCTTTTTTTGTTCAATCTGTTAATAAAATCACATCACACGACATTCGTCTTCATTGCCTATAAAAGTTTACCTAACCAACAAGAATGGCAATGTATGATTATGCGTACGATTTTCGAAAATCAATTTCCGATGAACAACATGAATAATATTCCAACAAACAGAAAAACCGTCTACTCACCGTGAAGAACGACATTGTGTGTTTGATATTTTCAAAAGTCCAGCAAAACGGAAAATCAGTGACGTATCGATTAATTAGTAAGACTAAAGTTAGACGTCTGGGCAACGATCGAGAAGAGGCAGAACTGAAGTCTGCGCGATTATGAAGAGACGCTAAAGGAGAATGCCTTTAACTGGCCCCACTCTTCCCCACTACTGGTCTGTCATGTTTGTGCGGAAAACGTTATGACATACACGACGAGTTGGAATCCAGGTTCGGATTAAACGTAGGAAAAACCGAGAAAATCTGAAAATGACGAAGTATTTAAACAAATTTTTTAAAGAAATTAAAAAAAAATTTAGAAATAATTGAAATTCAAAATCATAATTTTAAAAAATTTACATATATACTAAATCTATTCGTTTGATTTATTTAAATTTTAACAATCAGAAACATACGTATATATATATATATCTATAGTGAGAAGTGGGAGGAGAGTTCTCCTGATCGTTTCACTTCCGTTCCATTCCGACCCTGAACACGTTTATGTACTTCTCGTACAGTCTTCCTAGTTGGAAATGTCCGATCGTAATCGGTTTCATTCAGAAAACCCCCTGCTGCCTTTAAAAAAGCATTGTAATCCTCTGTGCCTTATACAAAAAAAAATTTATTCCCGATGAATCTTATCTTGAGAAATATATTCTTCCGAATTGCTCAGATATTTCAAAATTACAATTTTTCAGAGGAATTTTTCAAATTTTATTGTATCGATATTCTTTCATCTATCAGCTTCTTGCGTCAAAAATTTTTATAGAATTTATTAAATTTATTATACAGGATGTTAGTTAAGTATATTCCCAAACTCAACAGAGCGATTCTTTGGTTTATTTCAAGTAAAAGAGTCCATATAAACACTTTAGTTAAGTATATTCCCAAACTCAACAGAGCGATTCTTTGGTTTATTTCAAGTAAAAGAGTCCCCATATAAACACGTGTCCTAAACGACTTAGTTTCCGAAATACAGGTGAATGTTCGCAAATGTTTGACGAAACGATAAATTGCGTTGGAGATATCTTCCTGCATAAATATGCCTTGCTTCATGTGAGTTACTATTCTCACAACCGTAAATATTTGGATAGGGTGTACAATAATCGCTGGGTCGAGTAGGAATTCAATCTTGGCCTCCTAGATCACCAGACTCTGAGATATCTTCCTGCATAAATATGCCTTGCTTCATGTGAGTTACTATTCGCACAACCGTAAATATTTGGATAGGGTGTACAATAATCGCTGGATAGGTCGAGTAGGAATTCAATCTTGGCCTCCTAGATCACCAGACTCAAATCCTTTGAATTATTTCCTTTGGGGGCATCTGAAATCATTGGTTTATACCACCCCAATTGAGAATGAGAATGATTTGAGGAATCGAATAGTTGCTTCATGCGAGGCAATACGTAACACATCTTTGAACGTCAATCTTTGAGAAGAAGGCTCGATAGATGTCATGGCGCAAGGTGGACATTTTCAACAATTCATCTAATTGTTTTATTTCGTCAGAAGAACTGAAGCCTGTTTTTGTTTTTCTGTTTTTGACTAGTTTAAGTTGTATTTCTTTCAAATAAACAGATTATTACTACACGTTTAAATTTTTTTATTTCGGAAACTAAGCCGTTTAGGACACATGTTTATATGGACATTTTTACTAGGGATTAGTTTATCATAAATTCTACTTTAATTGTCTGGCATCAAAAATTGCTAATTCACACATATACGTTTATGTGCGATTGTTAGACAGGTCGAAATTGACATCAATTGACCTAATGAGCAATTAAGTGTGTTACGTTTAAGACTGCGCTTGCACCTAACTTCAGCTATATTAGATTATGATATCAGAAGTACAGAATCGTACAAATATTTCTTTCCTTTATAAACAATCTTTATACGTCAAGCAAAATTAACATCCTTCTACGTCATCATTCGTGTTCGATGATAAAATTTAGCAAAAATTCTTTTTACAGTCATTCGTTATTATAACCCAATCTACACGCATATCCCATGTTAAAATAGACGACGTTAAAACAACAAGTTGAATAAGATTTACTTATATAAGATTTAATTATTTATTAATTCATATACTGAATGGGAGAAATAAAACGTCGCAACGATGTCACATTACGACACGTTGGCTAATTGTCAAACAAATGTATTCTCTGAAGTAATGTAATTTGTTCTAATTTTTTGAAAGATCCCGTTAACGCGGAATTAATACTGTTAATTTAATTCCCGTTCTTTACCTCATTATTGTCGCATCAAACAAGATATTTACTTTTTCCAGTGAACTGGAAATTTCTTCACCAGAACCTTTATAAGATGTTAACAAATAAGAGATAATCTTCTTAATGAAAGTGTATTACATTATTATATTTCTATTACAAAATACAAACATTATAGGAATTTGTTAAGGAGAGAAAAAACATCTTTTTTTTTCTGAATAAATTGTAGATATTAGATTTTAAAAAAACGTACGTTTCTCTACCGAAAAATAAAAAAATTATATAAAATTATAAATAGAACGTTTACTTAAATTAAATATTAGACTCAATTATGGAAGGTGCAATAAAATTGGGAAGTTTATATTAAATTTTAATACATTTCACTTGTCCTAAACGGGGCCGATCCAATTATTGTCTTAAATTTAACATAAATATATTAAAAAGTAATACAAATATCACATGAAAAGTTAACAGAAAAAATATACTGCCAATTCGGAAACATGTTCAAACATTGTTCAGTAAAATTAACATTTATAAACATATTAAATTAATATTTTATTTGTACCTTTTATTTATTTATCTTAGAATTTGTTTTAAAATATATTATTTTTATGTTGTTTATTCATAAATTGTATTATTTTAACACTGAGAAATGAATATAATTTAATAGATACAAAATATTTAAATAACATTATATTAAATTAACTCGGATATAATATAAGTGTAATACAAGAATTTTTTGATAAGGATAATTTTTATCACAAATACAAAATATTTTTTACTGTGAAACTTTTTTGCTAAGTCTAATCTTACCTGAAGATAAATCATCATGATTACTAAGCATCGGTTTATCATGAAAATTTTTGTTGATAAGAGATGTTTTACAAATATAACAGCGCCTTGTAATGAAACTTATCTGCTATTGCATTTTTTCGCATTGCCGTTGGTGGTTTTATCTATTTGTAGTAGTGATAACATTACATGAACATTTATATTCTCATTTACACGAGTGTTTACACATCCATACGTACTTTTGGATCTGGGAAATCCCAGTCGAATCAGCACAATGTTTATCCGCAATGGACCGCAGCTTTTACCGTTGTTGGAAAAAGATTGAAGAGAAACATTCGTCCTTACAAATTAGATAACAATGTAAATGTTAATTGCGGTACAGAAAGAGCTTTGGAAAACCCCAAGAAAATGTTTACTAATGTTTTTATTCATCAATTTTAATAATTCAAATAACGATCAAAATATAACTCGATTAATAAATAAAATAATTTAATAGTAAAATTTTTTATTTTTAATAATAAAAATTTTTTTATTCTAATTTGGAATTAAACTGATACAAAAAATTATATTTAATTGATAAACTATTGAATTAATAAAACAATACAATCAACTACCAATGGTCTCCTATTTTAACCAATAAAGTAGTAATACATAAGAGCAAATAAAAGCTATATTGCAATGGATTTTCGCACAATTATTTATTCTTACTTGTTTTTTATAAGTACTAGTTTATTGTTTTCAAATTACACACTCTCTCTCTCTCTCTCTCTCTCTCTCTCTCAATATGATAAAAATTTAATTAGTAAATTGATTACTCGCGCGCGCGCGGCGCGGATCAAGAAATTTATAAATCTTTGAATTTTACCTATAATTTATTGTTAATTCAATTAAATATTAATATCAAAAAAATATATATATCACAAATTCCTGTCGATTGTCTGCGACATGAAATTTGTTGAAAATAAATTCAGTAATAATAATAATAATTTTATCTCATTTAGATCACGTAGATTTATTTTTCAGAACATTTACAGATTATAAATTTATTTTCCAAAAATATCTAAAAACTATAAGTTTATAATCTCTTTTTGGTCAGAAGATTGTAAACTTGATAAAGTGGATATTCCAACAAGGATTCTGATCGAAGTATCTTATATTAGATCAAAATTGATCTACCGCTTTCCATAAATTATTATCTGGCTAGGGAAATAAGTGAGAAAAGATTTAAGAACGTAGTCACAGTCTGAAATTCACATTTCATTCAGATATCAGAGTTTATTCAACAAAATAACATTCAAATACAATAAATCAACAATAAAAATATATTTCAAACTAATTTCCTCAAATGAAGAGGCTTTGTAAATACATTATTATGCAGAATTAAAAAAGTTTAAAAGTAATTCGTTATCGTTACTGGTTACTCGTTATAAAGTAACTCGTTAGCAGTATTGTTACTAAAAAAAATATCAAGTTATTACGATTTTCATTACTTTTTCATTTTAATAATTTTTATTTTAGAAAGAATCTCCAATATTGCACTAATTGACTAGTTCATCACGAGAGTATAAAGGATTATGATTAATCACAATATATATATATATATATATCAAACATAATACTCCCTGTTTTTAAAACTCGCTTATGCACATTCCATACGTGCACTAACAAAATTTGTTCAATTGACTAAATTAATTTAGTTCGTCTTTATTTCTTTTGATGAAAAATGCATATATTTAAATCAAACATATATATTATATTTGACTTAAATATATAATTCTCCAACAAAAAGAATAAATATAAACTTACTCTTTAAATTCTTTAGAATGGTATCTCACTCTAAGAATGAAAATTCTGTCATTCTTAAAAAGGAGAGTGACAGATTTTTTAATCTTTAATAATGAGATTTTACTCCAAAGAATTTAGAGAATCAATTAATTTAGTCAAATGAACAATTTTTTTCGTAGTGTACTTTATATGTATAAAACAACGATAAATATAACGATTACATACGTTCATCATTACCCAAAAAGTTGCATTACTATTACCGTTATAAATAAAAAAAATATAATGCCGTTACCAACTCGTTACTAAACAAAA